CTCTGGTCGCCGGTCAAGGTTATGAAGTTGAGGCATCTTTTGTGGGGATTTGCGGCGGCCCAAACCTGCCTTCTGCGGTTTTCTTCGAGTGTAAGCTGTTCGAGTTGGTTGCGTTTAGTTATTTTTATGCACGATTTAATTTTTATTTAGTTTACATTTTGGTTTAGGTATTAGTGGTCGACCTCAGGGTTTGTCGAGCCCTTTAATGTTTATGTTAACGAGACGGATTGGAAAATGAGTAACATAAAAGGGAAAGGCTTCCGAAAATGCGAAACAGTTTTTGGGATGAAGCTCAAATGTTGAGTGCAATATTTAAGGGTAGAAAGCTATTTAAACTTATATTGAAATGTGTTTCTTAAGATCGATATGAACAGTTGATATGTCAATTGATGTATGCAAAATTGAACATTATTAAAACAAATCCTTTATTAATGATTTTGAGCTGATTTTGATTTAATATAATGAAATAAAACATTGTTATATATTTTCTCATTTATATTAATTAATTATTTCTAATGAGTGGTGCATGCAGCATGAAATCTGAAATTAATCCCCCTTTCGCCCAAATTGGATCAATGTGATTGTTGTCAACGCAAACCAAAACGAAACCAAATCCAGTCCAGAAACCGCAGACATTTCACTGACTGACCGACCCCGTCACGTTTGCCGATTCCAGCTGGGCCTTTCAGGATCCGCGGTCAGAACGCCATTTGCGGCTCATAATTCAGGGCCCTGCTGGTTTGGAAAATTGCATTACCAAAATAATAAATCAATAACCATTTGATGGAGCTAAATGGGATTATTGGCAGTCGCCGCTTCCTGTCTGCGCGCATTTATGACATAATTCAATTCATTTCTTTAAATTTATTTTTCAGCGAAACTCGGGGAATAAGCAGATAAATAAATAAACTTGTACTCTGGCCAAATTGATTTTTATGGCGCGCAGCCTGCATAAAATATTCCACTGATTTTTATCTCAATGCCAACAAGGAAAATACGAGAATGTTGCTGCCAGCGAATGCAGGTGCCAAAGGAAAATTAAAAGAAAAGCAGGAGTGGGTGAATTTGTGGCGGCAGGGACGGAAAATTTGCCAGAAATTTCCAACCAACCATTCACATATTGAAGCAATCATACACACAAGTCAGAACTGATTCCCAAACTTGGTTTCTTTTCAGTTTACATTTGAAAATCATATGTATATTCCCTTAATAATAATATTTATATAGTAAGATACGCTTTCATGCACATGCACAAATATAATTTTTACTAATTTCACCAGGATCATTTTCACTTCACTTTTGGTGTGAAGACAATTTGAAAAACTTTAGTCTTCGATTTGTTTCGTTAACTTTTGTCAAAGAGATTTCCAGAACACCTTTAGCAGACTTTAACAACTTGTCGAAAAAATAAAATGAATGGTATTGAGGGAAAGTCGGGGGACTGTAGAAATTGCTGCTCGTATTTCGTTTTTGTTAATTTTATTTGCATGCTTTTATGCCTTATTTTTATTCATTTCGTTAGATGTTCAACTTCTCTGCCTGTCTTCCGATTTTCTTTTTCCTCAATGGGTTTTTATATTTTATTTCGGCGGCTTTAGAAATAAATTTTTGACAACATTGAATAATAGCAGTGGCATGCAGCACGTGATGGAAATAGGTACAGTTAAAAAAATATGACAATATTATGAGTCTACCATTTTGTATTTTAAATTACCCTTCCCTTATTTAAAATACACATATAATGAGAAATGAAACTCCAAATGTTTTAGAATCATTTTAAACTAAAGATAGGTTGAAACCATTTTAAATTCTAAAAAATGAAAAAATAACTAAGGAATGCTGAGTTGTGCATTGAAAATATAGGTGATTTTCTTAATTTAAGAACACTTGAAAGTTTCTTAGATATAATTAAACAAATTTAAACTAATATAATATTTTCACAAAAAAAAAGAATCGTGTTCAATAATTTTTTCTGTGTAATATAAACACGCGTGCTGAAACACATTTTAAACGTGTATGTGATTTTTGCAGGCTTTTGGGCAACTGAAGGAGGAACAATTCGGTACAGACAGGACACATACGTGTGCGAAACTCCAAATACATTTGCCTTCAGCACACACACAAACGCATATTCGTGCCGTCTGGGTGTTGCTTTGAAAAATAGGCAATGTGCGGAAATTTTGATTTTTCGCCCGAGTTGGTAAAGGCGTCGAGGGTTCCAGCGAGTTTAGTTTTGTGTGTCTGACTTACAGCGAAATCAAATTAACTTGTGCACACTTTTAGGCTTGCAAAGGCAAGGAAGAGAAAAAGACCGAACCAAAATGCTCCGACGTGACTTTCCATCCACCAATGCAAATGGCAACCGGAAGTCCTGTGCCGCTTCTATGTGTATGTGTGTGTGAGTGTGGATGCGCATGTGTAAATTTATTCACTGATGTCTTTTATAAGGGGCAATTTCAAACATTTTGCCATTAAGTCGACAAATTTTTAGAACGTTGCCGCATTTTGGGCCTTGGTAATTACAAAATGAAGTGCACGTGAGACACGGAAAGAAAGCCAAATAAAAGAGAGTCATAAAAAGGGAATGGAATGGGGAAGGGAATGGAAAGGAGGCGAAAAGGGGCGTGGTAAATGAAAACAGACGTCAAATGAATTTGTCTTTTACCGTTGTCGCGTTTCCCCCGCCACAAGCGGTACTCAAATATGTTCTGAATTGCTTGATATCTTTTAATGGCCGGTAATGGTACATAACCCGCTTGATGAGCCACATAACATAAATAATTCTTACTTAAAGTAAACCGAAATTGTATGTTATAATTATACATATACATTTCACATACAATTAGCCTTTAAATAGTTCAAATAGTTAATTAAATTCGTACTTAGTAAACTTATTTAATAAGAATTCTATTCCCTTTACTAAAAATAATATCTGAAAATAAGTTTCTTAAATTTGCTTTGGTATCTACCAGCTGGCCCACATATTCTAGGGTAATTAAGAAACACTTACTGTTTATTTTTCCTGAACTCTAAGCTTTATTTATTTTTAATCACATACCACATCCTGCAAAGCAATTCAGGTTGCAATTGAGGGAAATAGCCGAAACATTAGCCAAATAACACGCAACTATTAGCACCTAAACACCGGCCACAGGCAGGCATAAATCAAAACTGGCTTCATAAAATATTTATGCCCGCCCACACATCCAGCTAAACCCGAAACACAGTTAAATGTGAAGGCCCATTTGTAGGTAACGGAAGGCGGAAATGTTTAACAATTGAGAACGGAGGGTTAAGGGTGGAAAAACTACGCAACTGGTTGTCAATTCGAAATGGGGAAAAAACTTGAAAAAGGTTTAACAAATGCGAGCACTGCGGAACTGCGATAAAGAAAACCGCTCGAACTCCGGCCCCCCAAAATTGTGTGTAAACAAATTAAAAATTGGCCATAAAAAAATAATCATATTGCGGCCCGGGCCAAAACAAACAAGCGACATTAAATTGATAAAAGCCATGGCCAAAAGGGGCAAGGCCGCCAATAAAGAACGCAGCATGCGAGGCCCGGATCAGCAATAAAGACGCTTTCAACGGCTCAAGAAGCGAGGCGAAAAAAAACACTTGAAAACACTGGAACGACAATGGTGAACATTTTTTGTTCGTATTAAAAGCAACTTCCAAGTCATTAACCCGTTTATGACGCTTAACTTGGCCGAAAGCCCCGCCACTGGGCCACAATAAAGCGGCAATAAAATGGCTAGAACATGCCCACACACATATGTGTGTATTTGTGGGTCAGGCCAACTTAAAGCGTTTAACGGCTCATTTATTGCCGAACATTGCCTCGGTTTCGGGCCTCAGCCCGGGATAAAATGTTATTAAAAACGCGGCCATAGAGAATCGCCGGAGCACGCGCCTATTATGTGTTTAATCTTTGACCGACCAGGCCCGAATCCTGTCCTCCCACACACATGATATCCCGACCGCAACATCACCAGATTTGACAATAACTTTGACGGCGAAAGGACGAAATGGCGGCCAGCGGTTTGGAACAAATGGCCAGCGGAAACGGATGCAGCAAACTCGTTTCGCCATTTTGCGTCGAATCGGTGGGCATAAAAAGGGGCTCAGAGTGCATATGTCCACATGTGAATTGGTGGACAGCAAGATGTCCTGGAGTCAACGCACTAACGAGGCAAAAAAGCACCAACAAGAGAAGTCCTTTCAGCAAATAATGGAAGTAATATGGCAAGCGCATGGCGGCGCATTTATTATCGAGAAGATGAAATACTAACAGGGAACACTGACTGCGCAGATAATCTTTAATTAATCAACTAACTCTTTAAACAATATTTGATAACACTCTGCAACAAAAAAATGTTTAAGTTGATTTTTTCTTATTTTTCACTTCTACTAATCAAAATAAGAATATAAGTTTGTGGATTTGTTAATATAAATAGCCAATCAGCTTTTACGCACACTCAAATGTCCCAAAAACGCGCGTTTTTGCATATTTCACAGCCTTATAATAACATATTGGGAAAATATTTTTTCACCGTTATAAGCGTTCATGCAAGTTCAATATCTATTAATTAAAATGTATTAAGCAAATATACCGTTAGGCTTTTATAACAATGCTTTAAAATTTTTTTCTCCCAGCTCTATACTCTGGGCGACTACGTATGGAACTTGTTGAGCGAGGACACCTCTGAAAAAGCCAAAAAAAAATCAGGAAAAAAATTCACTTAAAAAAAAATAATAGTTTATTGGAAGTAAAAAAAAAATAATATTTTGTGTTAATTATTTTCATAATAATAATTTCATAAAATTTACTATGTAAAAAGAATTCGTATCACTTAAAAGGTGGCATAAATATTTTTGTGCATAATTTATGCACCTTAACCGAAAACAATCAAAAAAGTAACTTAAACAAAGATTTTGTTAAATTTTGTCGCACAGTGTAATATAAATATATTTATATATATATATAAGATCTATTAAAATGTGGCAGTATTGGTTTTATTTACGTTAAGTTGTCTCATCTATTTTTTCTATACTTCCTCCCTACAGGTCAGAGTAACCAGACAACTTCTCCAGTATCCAAGGCATGAAGGTGGGCACATTCATGTAGTAGGAACAGCCGCCTTCTCCGCACTCCTGGCTCCCCACGCTGACCACTCCGAAGAGGACAGCTCGCACGGAGCCGAAGTAACGAACCGACCAGGTGAGCGGTCCGCCGGAGTCGCCAAAGCAGGTGTCCACGTGGCTTCCATCGGCGCAGAGAAAGGTTTCGTCCCGGCCGTGGAGGCACTCCTCCGTGTTAATGGCGACCTCCATGGTGGTAACGGCTAAGGCAGAATCCTTGTCCTTTCCCCAGCCCACCGCCCAGTAGGATTCCCCGATGACCGAGGTGCGCGCCAGGAGATCGTCGGAAAGAGGCAGGCAGATCGGTCGAATGTGGTTCTTCAAGACAGCTCTGCGGTTCAGTCTGATCAGTGCAATGTCATTCCAACCGGAACTGCGATCGAAGTTCTCGTGGATAATCCACTCTTCAATGGTAAACTCCTCCACGGGTGGAGCACAAACCCTCTTGTAGTCGAAATTGGTACAGTCGAGTTCTGTGTTCAGGTCCTGCTCGCCCAGGCGAACTCTCAAGTCATCTTTTCGGCCACACATTCTGTTGCAGTGGGCAGCAGTCAGAACAAAGCGCTCCGAGATAAGGGAACCTCCGCAGCGACACGTCTCGTTATCGTCTGGCAAATAGAGGTATGCCATCCAGGGCTGGGACAACAGGAACGACTGCCTGCCGCCGGTGATCCTTCGATGGAGTCTTTTGGCGGGTATTAGACTCGAAAGGTCTCCGCATCGCTGTTGCCTAAGTTGATTGTACACCCTCCTAACTGCGACCTTTCCATTTTGAGGTACCGCTTCCAACTGCGAAATCGAATTTAAACAGATAACACACGCCAGGCACAAAATCGGGAAAAAACCGATCATGATGCTCGCTCGGATTGAAAAAGACTGAGATTTCGTCTTCTTGGTGTAATACATTTAATAAAAATTGTGGCACGAGCTTATCGCAACGTTAATCACTGAAAATCCATATAGTATATATAATATAATTCATGAAATTTAATAACATTAATTATTAACTAAGCGACTGATAACGCGGGAGGGCAACTTCTGTTCAGAAGAAATAAACGATTAAATTGAAATGGATTTTTTGTGGTGTTTCACATAAATTGGAAATTCAGATGGTGGCGAAATATATGAACAATTATGGGATTATTATCAATAGTTTATTTAGATAGATATGTGGATAAATGTTTACAAAAGAGTTGATTATATTGATTAAAAGAGTTGAGACAACAATTTAGCAACTGATTGGCGCGACTTGACTACTTTTCGGTCGATTTTTTGCACGTTCTCCACTTTTTCGCTGATCCAAGACTCGCTTCAATTTAAGCTATCGCTGAAGTCTGTTGAAAGAAGGCTCATATCGACATGATTAAGGACTGCACACTTATGCTACAGTCATTACTTTACATACACAAACATACATCTATAATATACATATTAAAATGTGGCAGTATTGGTTTATTCCAGTCCTTCCCTACAAGTCGGAGTAACCCGACAGCTTCACCAGTATCCAAGGCATGAAGGTGGGCACATTCATGTAGTAGGAACCGCCGCCTTCTCCGCACTCCTGGCTCCCAACGCTGACCACTCCGAAGAGGACAGCTCGTACGGAGCCAAAGTAAAGGAGCGACCAGGTGAGCGGGCCGCCGGAATCGCCAAAGCAGGTGTCCACGTGGGTTCCATCGGCGCAGAGGAAGGTTTCGTCCCGGCCGTGGAGGCACTCCTTCGTGTGTATGGAGACCTCCATGGTGGTAACGGCGAAGGCCTCCTCCTCGTCCGTTCCCCAGCCCACCGCCCAGTAGGGTAGCCCGATGACCGAGGTCCGCGCCATGAGATCGTCGGAAAGAGGCAGGCAGATCGGTCGAATGTGGTCCTTCAAGACAGCTCTCCGGTTCAGTCTGATCAAAGCGATGTCATTCCAACCGGAATTGCGGTCGAAGTTCTCGTGGATAATCCACTCTTCAATGGAAAACTCCTCGACGGGTGGAGCACACACCTTCTGGTAGCCGGAAGTGGTGCAGTCGAGTTCGGAGGTCAGGTCCTGCTCGCCCAGGCGAACTCTCAAGTCATCTTTTCGGCCACACATTATGTTGCAGTGAGCAGCGGTCACAACAAAGCGCTCCGAGATAAGGGAACCTCCGCAGCGACACGTCTCGTTATCGTCTGGCAAATAGAGGTATGCCATCCAGGGCTGCGACATCAGGGATGACGTCCTGCCGCCGGTGATCCTTCGAAAGATTCTTTGGGCGGGAATAAGATTCGAAAGGTCTCCGCATCGCTGTTGCCTAAGTTGATTGTACACCATGCGAAGTGAGAGCATTCCATTTTGAGGAAATGCTTCCGACTGCGAATTCGAATTTAAACAGATTACACACACCAGGCTCAAAATCGGGAAAAAACGGATCATGATGCTCGCTCGGATAGAAAGATACTGAAAGTGGTTTAAATTCCGTCTGCTTGGTGGATTGCATTTTATACAAATTCTGGCACAAGCTTTTCGGAACGTGAATCACTGAAAATCCATATAATATATATAAAATAATCCAAGAAATTCAATAACATTAAAAATTGCCTTAGCGACTGATAACGCGGGAGGGCAACTTTGGTTTAGAATAAAAAGAACGATTAAATTGAAATGGATTTTCCGAGTTGATTCACATAAATTGGAAATTCAGATGGTGGTGAAATATATGAACACGTATATTATACATAAACAAGTTGTATACATAAAACAATGATTATTAATTCATACGTGAGGTTTCACTTAACAGAATTCAAGACTGATGCAGCAAACTCGTTTCGCCATTTTGCGACGAATCGGTGGGCATAAAAAGGAGCTCAGAGTGCATATGTCCACATGTGAATTGGTGGACAGCAAGATGTCATGGAGTCAACGCAATAACGAGGAAAAACACACCAACGACAGAGTTCCATTCAGCAAATAAATAATATGGAAAACACATCACGGCGCATTTGTCATCGAGAAGATGAAATGCTAGCAGGAAACACTGACTGAGCGGATACCCTTAAATTAATCAACTAACTCTTTGAACAACATTTGATAATATAATTATATATATACAAATATATATGTATATATACAATCTTTTAAAATATGGTAGTATTGGTTTCATTTACGTTAAGTTATCTCATATATTTTTTCTATACTTCCTCCCTACAGGTCAGAGTAACCAGACAACTTCTCCAGTATCCAAGGCATGAAGGTGGGCACATTCATGTAGTAGGAACCGCGACCTTCTCCGCACTCCTGGCTCCCCACGCTGACCACTCCAAAGAGGACAACCCGCACGGAGCTGAAGTAACGAACCGACCAGGTGAGCGGTCCGCCGGAGTCGCCAAAGCAGGTGTCCACGTAGGTTCCATCGGCGCAGAGGAAGGTTTCGTCCCGGCCGTGGAGGCACTCCTCCGTGTTTATGGAAACCTCCATAGTGCTGTTGGCGAGGCCCTCATCTTTGTCCGTACCCCAGCCCACCGCCCAGTAGGATTGCCCGATCACCGAGGTGCGCGCCAGGAGATCGTCGGTCAGAGGCAAGCAGATCGGTCGAATGTGGTCCTTCAAGACAGCTCTCCGGTTCAGTCTGATCAGAGCGATGTCATTCCAACCAGAATTGCGGTCGAAGTTCTCGTGGACAATCCACTCTTCAATGGAAAACTCCTCGACGGGTGGAGCACAAACCTTCTTGTAGTCGAAAGTGGTGCAGTCGAGTTCGGTGTTCAGGTCCTGCTCTCCCAGGCGAACTCTCAAGTCATCTTTTCGGCCACACATTCTGTTGCAGTGGGCAGCAGTCAGAACAAAACGCTCCGAGATAAGGGAACCTCCGCAGCGACACATCTCGTTATCGTCTGGCAAATAGAGGAATGCCATCCAAGGTTGAGACAACAAGGATGACTTCCTGCCACCGGTGATCCTTCGGCGGAGCCTTTGGGCGGGAATAAGACTCGAAAGGTCTCCGCATCGCTGTTGCCTAAGTTTATTGTACACCCTGCTAACTGCGACCTTTCCATTTTGAGGTAATGCTTCCGACTGCGAAATCGAATTTAAACAGATTACACACAACACACAACACAAAATCGGAAAAACACCGATCATGATGCTCGCTCGGATAGAAAGAGACTGAGATTGCTTGTAATTCCGTCTGCTTGGTGAAATGTATTTAATACAAATGGTGGCACAAGCTTATCGCAGCGTGAATCACTGAAAATCCATATATATAGTATATATAATATAATCCAAGAAATGCAATTTTGTTTTTAATTATTAACTAAACGACTGATAACGCGGGAGGCCAACTTCTCTTCAGAAGAAAAAACGATTAAGTTGAATTGGGTTTTTCCGTGGTAATTCACATAAATTGGAAATTCAGATGGTGGCTAAATATATGAACAAGTATGTTAATATACATACATAATCAAGTAATATACATAAAACAAAGATTATTAATTCAGACAAGAGGTTTGACTTAACAGCAACCAAGCAATTCGTTTGAGCAGACGATCAAGCTGTACCTGGAACAATTTCAGAGCTAATAATACCTAACTTTCTGCAAACCCATCAAAACAATGGAAAGCCCCTCTTATTTTGATCGGAATGAAGAAGGAAAGTGGTTAATTTCATGGAACAAAATTTGAGAGCACTAAAAATGACTTATCAATGGGACTTAGTTAGTTTTTCGCTCATTTTTTTCGCTTAACTCACCGTAAGGCATCCAGAATAAAATATCACTTGCCTTCCAACAGCGCAAATGGTGAAAAAAAAGGGAGGCAATAAAAACAACAAATTCGAACCAAGTACCAAACTACGTGAAAATTTAATTATTTATAAAAACACAAATTAATTAAATTTTACTTGTGGGGCAAAAAGGAAAATTGTTAGGAACACAAAAAGGTTAAAGGTTAAAGTTACTAACTACTTAACCCCGGTTAATGTCATTTCAATTTCATGTATTTTATTATTTTAATCATAATTGGTTTTAAACTACTTTAGCAAAACTGTGCGCTCTGAAAGTATATATGCAGCAGAACCTTAATAAAAATTCCATACCTAAAAAGCATTTTGGAAGTGCAGTAAATTAATATCACTAATCAAAAATTAAATGTTTTGTTATTAAAACAAAAAAAAGGACTCAGTTATGAAACAAAGTACTCGCCAGCCTTATGGGAATTATTTCCTTACAGTTACCTCACCCTCGTTTCCCAATTAATCCTGTAGGACTCTTTGGCAAAAGAGTATACAAAGGAATTTACGGTCGATGTGGCTTGTCTGTTTATGGCAACAGTGGCCAAGTTGTTGGCACAATTGCAGGACCAAAGCGGTTTTGGGTTTGTTACCCACCGCACACACACACACACACTCGTACACTCATACACACACAGAAAGCCCGGGGAAGAGGCTCACTTAAAGCTCACGCACATTATGCTAATATTACCCCCACTAGTGTTAGTGGGTTAAGGACATTTTTATGTGCGTGTGCCCACGCACATCGACCATCGACACTCGTCTGCACCCATACATACGTGTGTGTGTGTGTGTGTGTGTGTTGGCCATCTGCGTTTGGCTGTGTTCGTGCATGTTAAATGAGCGTAATGCCACTATTATTGGACACATTACAAACAAAATGAAAGTGGTTCCGCACACACACATGGAGAGCACTGTTTGTCCTTAAAGTTCCTTGCCAAAGGGATTACGGAATATTGCATTTGCCGCATTAAACTTGCATCAGAGTGCAGTTCCCCAGTTCCGCAATAATTGAGCAGGTCGATTTAGACGATCGCCACCCAATCCAATCGCCTCCCAGAGGCAAAACAGGTGTCTTCATCCTGCCGCAATTGATGGCAAATTTCCTATTCCATTATCCCGGCTGAGCTGGTCAATAATGCAGCCTGGCATCCTCTCCAAGTCATAATGTGGATTGAACTACACTAACTGATTGACTGATTGACCGTATCGTCTTGCTTTTCGATTTTTTTTATTATGTATTTATTTAACCAGCTGTTCGTATGCTTTACTTACTTTTGATACTTGGTTAGTTGAGCATTTTCTTAGCCATAATTCACCCCAATTTTGTTGCTTTAAATGTTTATTATTATTATTAGGTTGACAAAAATTATTGTCAGTTTCCTACTGTTAAACAATCAGCACTTCTTTTGACTGGAATCTTGAAAACCCAAATTCAGTGACATTTCTTCAACATCACCGCAATCACCGTCATCATCATATCACCATTCTCCTTTGACAAAAACTTAAAACTTTCATCGAACTAAAACGGTTTCAGTGCCCGAATAGTTACCCAAAAATAAAATTTCGAGAGCTTCGTTGTGCAATAAAAAAAATTGATTACACATACTCTGCAGGCGGTCGCAATTGACTTTGAGGTGTTTTATCGATTTGCAACGTTCGTGTTTACGAATCGAACCTTTTCGCCTGACAGAAAAGCAGAATGGATGTGCTCCGTGGGACAGGAAACACCTCTGGTTCCACTTTATGTCACATTATGGCGATATCGAGCACTCAAACGGGACTCGCTTGTAGAAAAATAGCAGCGACGATTAAACGGAAAATATACTGCCTTGGGGGCCGACGACAAAGCACGAAATTCCAACTTAAATCTGAAATTCAGTATCAGTAACTACAAGGAAACGAGCGAAAGAGAAGGAAAATTATAATGTAGATATAAATCATAATTTTAAGGCAGAAATCTCTAGAGATGAGCTTTCAGCGTGCACTTGGCAGTGGGCTGTGGGGTTTTCCCTCGCTTTTCCCTCGCTTTTCCGGCAGGTATAATCCCTCAAAGCAGAAACACAACTCAAGCATTTTGGCCGCCTCCTTCAAACTTCACTCGCTCTATATGTATGGCCGGTGGTGTACGGCTGTGTGTGTGTGTGTGCCAACAATTTATGCGCTTCGTCGCTTTTCGTCTACTCCAAATGATTTGCCTTGGCCCAAAGCCCCTCCCGAGTGCCTCCCATCCATCTACTTCGCCTCAAGTTCAATTTATTTTGCGCATAAAAAATATCTAAGCATTTTGGCCCGGCTGTCTCGATGCAGATGTATTGGTGGCTTGACTGGCAAGTGTATGTGTATGCCTGCGAATGTCTAGAAATTTGCCTATTCCACTTAAGCCAACTCTAGAGATGCGAAAATCGCCCTGCCACAAAATGTTTATAGAATTAATATTCATCCTTATATAGTTGTATTTTAAAAATAAATTTGATTTCAATATTTTCAAATTAATAAGAGTTTCAGCATTCAGTAAATAATCTGTAAGTAATATTGCTATAAAAAAACGTAACATGCGAGTATTGGCTATAATAACTTAAATTAGGAACTAAAGAAGTTTTTTATACAAAATTAACTTTCCATTTTTAGAAGGAATAAACAATTTCTTATGAATATTTAACTTATTTTACTTCAACTTAAGCTCAAACACATCACTGATTCCCCCGAAAACAGCTTGCAGCACACACAATTTCATGCAACATGAGAAATTGCTTATAAATCAT